AGTATGTAATGAGTAAATAAAATATTCTTCAATACAACTTGAGCAACATGGCAGAGTAGGAAACCCTGGACCCTCTTTCTCCTTATAAATATACCAATTCGGCAACAATTCATGGACAAATTCCCTTTGTGAGAAATCAGAAACTAATTGAAAGGTTCTCACATCCCAGGAGATCGTAAAACCAGACTCACCAAAGCTAGTATGGAGATTCGGGACAAGCTCTTGCTAGAGACCCTGCCCATGGTGCAATGCTGTATGATCAAAAAGAGACCCTCTATCTTCTGGCTTCACCCAGAGGAGGGAAGAGATTTGTATGTACATCCAAGGCCCCAACTTTTCTGAGGGAGCTCCCCAGAAAACTGGCTCCTGTCTTGCCAGTCTTGGAGCTCTGACAGACCAGACATAGTCTAGCCACCCAGGGGAAAATGGAGGCATTGGTTTGGACTGATAGGTGCCATTGATCCTATGCCCTTCTCAGCACAGAGTGTGTGGATGACTGTTCAGCTCTCAGCTTCCCTTTAGGAAGGAAAAACATTGATCCATGCATCCAGCACCCCAACTTTCCTGGAGCTTCCCAGAGAACTAGCATCTGTGTCACCAGTCTTTTTTATTTTTAATTTTTTTTTTATTTCAGCATATTACGGGAGTACAAATATTTAGGTTACGTATATTGCCCTTGCCCCACCCAAGTCAGAGCTTCAAGCTTGTCCATCCCCCAGAGAGCGCACACTGCACCCATTAGGTGTGTATATACCCATCCTCTTGACCCCCCTCCCATCTGCCTAACCCGATGAATGTTACTACTATATGTACACTTAAGTGTTGATCAGTTAATACCAATTTGATGGTGAGTACATGTGGTGCTTGTTTTTCCATTCTTGGGATACTTTACTTAGTAGAATGGGTTCCAACTCTATCCAGGATAATATAAGAGGTGCTATATCACCATTGTTTTTTGTGGCTGAGTAGAACTCCATAGTATACATATACCACATTTTATTAATTCACTCATGTATTGTTGGGCACTTGGGTTGTTTCCACATCTTTGCAATTGTGAATTGTGCTGCCATAAACATTCTATGCAGATGTCTTTTTTATAGAATGTCTTTTGTTCTTTTGGGTAGATGCCAGGTAATGGGATTGCTGGATCAAATGGTAGTTCTACTTGTGTCTCTTTGAAGTATCTCCATATTGCTTTCCAAAGAGGTTTGTCTCACCAGTCTTGAAGCTCTGATGGGCCCACCAGTCTAGCCACCTACAGTAGAACAGAGATGGCAGCTCGGGCTGATAGCTGCCAGGGAACCCTACCACCCAGCTCATCACAGAGCAAGCAGACGAAACCGCAGCTGCCAGTCTCTCTCTCGGGAGGGAAAAAGTTGGTAGAGGCTTCCCGAATCACTGGCTGGCTGATTCATGGAGTTCTCTTGTGTAAAGCTAGTCTGTGAAGACTGAGAGAGGTGCTTGCTTTCTCTAATGCACAGACACCAACACAGAGAGTCAAGGAAAAATGAAGAAACAGCGAAAGATGTTTCAAACAAAGGAACAAGATCTCCAGAAGCCAGCCCTAATGAAAAAGAGTTAGGATTTACCTGCTAGATAATTAAAAATAACTCTCATGAAGGTACTCACCAAGGAAAAAAGAACAATGCATGAACAAAGTGAGAATTTCAACAAAGGGAAAATATTAAAAAGTACCAAACGAATCATAGAGCTGAAGGACACAATAACTGAACTGAAAAATTTACTGTGGGGGTTCAGTGCAGACTAGATTGAGAAGAAAGGATTGGAGAAATCAAAGACAGGTCAATGGAAATAATTCAGAAGAGCAAAAAGAAAAGAAGAATGAAAAACAGTGAAGAAAGTTTAAGGAAATTACAGGACACAATTAACCTGACTAGACACACATTATGGAAGTTCAAAAAGGAGAAGAGAGAGAGACAAAGGACCGGAAAGCTTATTCAAAAAAATAATGACTGTAAATATCCCAAATCCAGGGAAGGAAATAAACACCCATAGCTGAGAACCCTAGAGGACACCAAATAAGA